TAACTACATCCTGCACCAAATGCACCTGTAAATGTGGACCATCTCTAAAGAAGACGACCATAACCATAGCATTATGTTTTCAGCTCACACCAGGCTGCACAGCACAGCTGCCTTTATAACGATAAAAACTAAACGTAATCTTTGAGTACGAAGCCGTTACTTACATCCATTTTATCTTTTAATGTCCTAGTATGGTGAGAATAGTTTTATTTGACACCATAAAGCAAAGTCATCATTTTTAAATGAAAACATTTACATTTTAATATAAATGTTTTGAATGATGTATAAGGAAAAGACTAAATGGAATATTTCCATATGAGGGTGCTGGATCTCAGGATGCTAGTAGACTGTTATTCATATATACTCATATGTGTTACAAATTATATGAAGAATAAACCACACAATGAAAATCTTTTTATTTATTTATGATAGAATGACAATATTAAACAATGGAAAAGCCCTAAACATTACAGGAAAACCTTAACATTGAAATTTGAGTCAGCACAGTATATAAACACGATGGGAGTGAGAGACAGAGAGGAGAAGTAGTGCTCCATGCATCATGGCAAGTCCCCCAGCAAATACAGACTATGACAGCATAACTGAAGCATGGGTTGACAAAAGGCACATTTTGAGCCTAACCTTAAAAGAAGAAATCATTTGTGTCCTGAGTCCAAACTGTGAGGTCAGGAGAGGGGACTGAGGCCTGAAGCTTCTGCCTACCATTCTACTTTTAAAAACGCCAGAGTGCTGGGCTGTTGTTTTCATATTTTAACTAGCGAGATTTTCTGACGTATCTTTGGCAGATACCGTGATTTATTTCGATGATAAGAAAGCGCAGTGAAAAATCAGGTTTTTATTTTGGAATAGTTTTTGAGAGATTAAATTTTAATGTGTAAAAAAAAGTTCTGACAGTCCTTTCAAAAATGTGATATATGAAGTTGTTGTACTCATTATATATGTTCGACTTTGCACCTTAACGTCAGCTGGTCGAGCAGAAAAAATATTCTGATTTGAGACTGAATCTATGGATGGAAGGTCAGTGTGTTTATTTTGAAGGGGTAGCAGTCAGCGGAAGTCGTACTGCAGGGGGAGGAAGCTGACAGCATGTGGGATGAAGGCTGCGAAGCACACGCCGCACAGCAGCACGGAGGAGTAATGATGAGAGGCTGAGCTCTCCACAGCACAAGTTCAATTCTTACACGACTCGTCAGAAAATAGCTCAGCCATGTCGGGAGTGTTAGCACGGCTGCTCTTCTATCCCACGTTAGCCTACAACGTTGTCATGGAGAAGGTGTCCTCGAGACGGTGGTTTGACCGAGTGGATGAAACTGTGATCCTCGGAGCGCTGCCGTTCAGGTCCATGACCAAACAGGTCCGCCTGTCAAACACTGAAGCTGCTAGCTAGCACTCGACTACGCTAACGACTCTTTAGACCAGCTGCCGAGCTAGCCTGCGCTAACGAGGCGGCATTGACTTTGTTCTAAACAAATGTTTTGGCAAGTTGTTATAGTAGTGGTGTGTGTGTGTGTGTGTGTGTGTGCAATTTCAAAGAAATGCTGTAAAGACATTACACAATTATGAAATAGTAACTCGCAGTGAGTAGGTCATTATCTCAATCAGCGAATATTGTGATTTGTGGGTGATTCTCACCATCTTCGATCCAGCTGAAGCAGAAACCGCTGTAACACCGCCTCAGTTATCTAACAAGCTAACATATCAGAAACAGAAACGGTCTCGCAGTTCAGTAGTTTTTGCCCATAGTTGGTCCTCTTGGATCATCAGACCTCTGACGGTCAACATGATTTATTAGGTTTGTTTTTTCTGCAGTAGTCAGTCGGAGCACACAGTGCAGTGTGCATCAGTAGAAAAACACTAAGACTAATGTTCATACTATGTTTAGCATTAATTCACACACCGCTGTTGCTATTGTTCTGCTGCTCTGTACCTCCGCCCCTTCCTTCACGATGCCCCATCAGTGCGTCCTGCCTACAGCCACTGTGGCCACTCCAGCACCACCCACAGATGCACATTTGGCCACTTATTTGTGTGTTTGAATACTTTGCCCCCAAAAAGCTTTTGAATGGCCTTTTCCCGAGCTAAGAGCTTTCCTTTTATAAAAGTAATTTTGGTCCCAGCAAAGAAGCTTTTGGATAATTGTAGGACTGTGATTTCTAAAATGTTTTTGATTATTAAATGATAGGCAAACATCCCTTCCTCAGTGTGAGGAATACAGCTTATTAATGTAAAGACTGTTACACAAGGAACATGCTACCATACCATACCACCTTTATTTATAAAGCACTTTAACATAAAACCAGAGTTCACAAAGTGCTGTACATGCAAATGGCCTAAGTAAAGTAAATAAAAATAAGATAAAATAAATTAAATAACTAAAATAAATTAAAACATGTTAAAACAAATTGAGTCAACCCCTTTAATCAGTGCCAAAGGCTTCAGCGAATAAATATGTTTTAAGAAAACTTTTAAACTCAGAAAGCGAAGAGGTCTGTCTAACGTGCAAGGGCAGATCATTCCACAACTTTGGGTTGGCTGCGTAAAAATGCCATGAAACACACACTGAACGTTGTGCTTTTGTCACATTACGCATACTGGATATTACCTGTTACATGATTAGAATAAGGACCACAGGTATCTTTCTCCTTAGCTCAGGTAAGATGCCTGTTGTTTATGAGTGGCTGATATTATTGAAGTCGATGGCTGTGGCCCCTTTGCTGTGTACATTGTGACACTGACACCACCTTCAGTCTGCTCCTTGGCAAACTCTCATGTCATGTGTGTTGTTTGTGTATACTTTTTCCTTCTAGTCAACTTCCCATAAATATTTGCACACTGTGAACTGACAGCTTTTGCAGCAGTGACTGTGGTGGCTTCTGGTGGTTGTTGATTTTTGCCATCTGAGCATTTGGTAAGTCAGCAGTCTTCCTCATGGCTGTGGACTCCAGATGAAATATTCTAATAATTTGAGATACCAGATTTATGTTTTTTGTGATCATCAAAATAAAAAAAAAAATCTTGGAAAAAATGAACTTTTACACAATATTGCCATTTTCTGAGATGCACCAGTGTTTGCATAAAGAGCAGAGAAGGAGACTGGAAATATATTTTGTCAAGACCTCATAAAAAATGGAATAAAGGAGAGAAAGAGTATTTAGAGCGCCGCTCTCGTGGCAGTTGCAGTTTTCAACTCTGAGAGCTGATGGCCTGTTTTTGCTGTTGCAGCTGGTGGAAACAGAAAATGTTCGAGGGGTGATCACCATGAACGAAGAGTACGAGACCAAATATTTCTGCAACTCAGCCCAGGTGAGTTCCCTTCGTTTGAGTTCCCATTATTAAGTTGACGTGCAGTTTAATCGCCCTGCTCATATTTGAAATGACCCTGTGCTGTCATGCATATGCAAGATGAGTTAAATACTGATGTGTGATAGAAGTTCAAGTGCCAAAGAGCCGCCCCTCATACACTGTGTCATTTATTGTTGCGGTGCTGGTGCAGGAGTGGCGGGCTGCTGGTGTGGAGCAGCTCAGGCTGAGCACTGTGGACCTGACTGGTGTCCCCAGCATGGAGAACCTCCACAGAGGCGTGGAGTTTGCACTGCAGCATAAAGAGCAGGGAACCAGTGTGTACGTGCACTGCAAGGCTGGACGTTCCCGGAGCGCCACATTAGCTGCCGCCTACCTCATACGGGTCAGTATGATGCACTCAGACTGCCACCTGCTGTTTGAACTGCAGACAGCACAAAAACCGAGTGGAGAGAAGAACATCCCACTTTTCAAGATAAAGCATAAAGGGCAGATAAAAAATAAAGAAATAAATAATAAATAGAATAATAAATTCACATTTGTTATGTTGGATAATTTTGAACAAATAAGAATAAGGCGGCAACAAATCCGTTTTTTACAGGAATCAAATAATTATACTGCTATAAAATCTGAGCAACGCATAAGCACTTTTAAGTATTTTTAAGTACTTTTAAGTACTGTGTAATTTCCTGGTAATTTAGCAGCAAAACAAACAATATTTCCCTGTATTTACGTCATAAGTACGTGTTACTTTTTGTGGAGCAGGCAATATTACAGAGTGGCCTAAACGTGCCTATCCTGCATGTATTTTAGAGGAAAGGAGACACAATTTATACTGTAGGTAATTTTGAGTATTGCATAACTTATTTTGAGTCAGGGTCTCATATTTGCAGCCTGGGGGCCACTTGAAGAAATGTCCTGCAGTTTGTCTTTGAAGTTCTTTAAAAAGCTGAGAATGACTGAATATCTTCGAAGGCAGCATGAGCAGAGAGCACAAACATGCTGAGGGATCAGCTGTTAGCTCAGTGACAGAGTCGCACTGATGTCTGCAGTTTATTTTGTTAAACATGAACACAATGACAGCAGCAGTGCTGCCACATGTGTGCGCAGAGAGGACCAGTGTGTTTGTTTGGTGGTTCGATGAAAGGATTCAGTTTGTTACAATCTGCGTTCATGTTTGCAGTTTTGTCTCATTATACAATATTTGAAATTAAAAAAACAAACAAAACATTTTCAGAAATATTTGTGGGTGTTTTCTTGTTTGTTTAGTTTTTTTATTACTACTTGAACACAAAGTGGTCTTCCAATGAGATGACATCGTTTCAGTTTCAGAGCCTGTTTTAAGTGGTGTGTAATTAGCTGGTAATTTTGCAGAAAAACAATATTTTTGATGCAGTTTTTGTGTTGACGGCTGTAAATGTTGAGTGACTTAACCTTCCCTTTTTACATCCTTATTTTGTTACACTGTGTACATGATGGATTTTCTGTTATTCAGTTGTTCTTTTTAACTTGCAGTGTATTTAAAATTACTTACACTGTAAGCTGTGTCTCCTTTCCTGTAAAATACCCAGAAACAGTACAGCATACTGCTAAATTACAATGTAATATATTTCTTTGTTTCCTGAAAAAACCCTGACTTTTTACCCTTTTATTCCAGCGTACTTACCTTTAAAGTATTTGTATGTAAATATAATCTTATGGTCATTTCAGATAAAACACATGCCACATTTAACTCCGTTTTTGACCCGTTTACCTCCACATGCACTGAACCACAGAGTGTTTAAGTCAATATTCCAGAGTGGTGACTGTATGAAACATGCTCATGGCTGATGAGTCGCTCGGGCATCAAGCGACAGGTTTGCTGTGTTGACCGTTTGCTTTCCTGCTGACAGTTACACTGCTGGACTCCAGAAGAGGCCTGTCAGAAGCTGGCATCTGTTCGACCGCACATCCTAGTACGCTCCGCTCAGCTGGAGATGCTGAGGAAGTACTACCAGCAGATATGTGCACAGTCTAGCTGAGAAAGTGGGGCAGTGTGTCGGACCTCATCGTGTTCCCACTGGAGGTGGGAGACGGCGACTCAGAGCCTTGATCAAAACAACAGTAACAGGAAATGCAACTGTTCCCTTTTCAGCAAGTCCTCTTTGGCATGTGTACAGCTGCAGAACAGAACATGTTGTTTATCTGTTTTTGTTACTCTTTAATATAATTTTGTTGAAAGAAATTTTCCTTTTTAGAATTTGATTTCCAGCCACGTTATTCTGTTTTAACTAACAAACTAAGACAAATCACTGCAATGCTCTCCACGTTTGTTCTTAAAAAAGAAAACACTCCCCTCAGAGCCGGCTGACGTCAGCTGGAGTTTAGTCAACAAGATGAGAACACTGTAATGAATAAATCAGTAATGAAGGTGTTTCTGTGTAGACTGGAAAATATTTGCTTTATATTTTTCTGCAGTGCCTCATAATGTAAAAAAAATGACCATAAATAAATGTTTATGACATAAAGAGTAATGGTGCTTCTTTATTTTCAGTAGTTTGTTCTTATTGGCAAGCACATATTTAAATAAAGTTGGGATGTTCCAATGTGACAGTTATCAAGAAGGTTCAGGGCTCTAGAGTGCGACCAATTTGGTCGCAAATGCGACCAAATTTTTCAGTGGTGCGACTATAAAAAATATTTGGTCGCACCTGTGCGACCAACTGTTCGGGTAACAAAAAAAAAAAATCTCTGCAACTCTCCATGTGGTCAACAACAGACACACATTATGCCCCTATCTTGGACTAAACCAATCAGAGATAGTCAGGGGCGGGACCTCTCTGATTGGCCGTGATTCAGTTGAAAGTGCAGGTGGAAGAGAGAGGTGAGTAGCTTGAATAAAGCGATATCAATTCATTAACGGATTCCACACAATGACATAAACAGAGCGGACCCAGGCATCAGAATCAGCTTTGTCTTTCTCGGCTTTCTCACCCGACGGCCCGTAGACGGACACGCTGTCGGAGCTTAGCGATTCTGATGCGTCGGGTCCGCTCTGTGTTTACGTCTTTTTGCGCTGATTCTGAGCTGCAGGTTTTGTTTCTCTCCAACCAAAATTCGCCGAGCCAGCAGCAAAAGAAGCAGCACACTACGCTTCACATTTGATCAATGTCGTCATGAATTCCCTCTGTTTTGCTTCCACCATGATAAAAATCACACTTCATACACAGCTCTCTCTCTTTCTCTTTGTACTTCAAGAACAGTTTCCCGTCTCAAATCTCTGTTTTCTGCATTGTTCATTTGCTTATTACCCACCAGTCTACCGTTGTTTACAGCGCTGTCTTTTTCTTTTTTCACTTAAATGACCTCGAACAAGAAAGCCTAATTTCTGCTGCTCAATACTGAAGAAATTTAAACTTCTTAAAATTATGAAAAAATTGCAGAATATTGCAGAATATTTTTAAGGTTATCTGCTATAAAAAGCCAGACCAGGAAAATCTCCTTCATGTTTTTCTGTTTTATTCTCAGTTACTTTGACACAAAGGCATCTGCTGTGATGTTCACATCTCTGATAAAGTCTCAAAAGTGTCAGTACTGATAAATGATCAGAATTATAATATTTCTGACTGTCTGAGGCTAAATTGAATCAAATCAGGACTTTGAGAACCGGAATCGAATGGATTATAGAAATCAGTGATGATACCCAGCCCTAGTGAGCAGCCTAGGCCTGAGAGAAGTGGATGTAGCTGTGGGTAATAAGAAAAGATGAAAAGAACTATTGATAACTTTTTTGTTAAGTTAAGGCCTGATCTGTCTGAAATTCATAGCCAGTGCTCTGACACGGTGCCATCAATCTCTGAATGCTGAAAAAGCACAGTGTATCCAGAAAACACATTATATGCTGCAATGAATGCACTGCCCAAGTGTCCCCTCTCCCCACTGCCTTTCAGCAGCATGCAGCAGCAAACAGGTTGTCAGAGGAGGCCAAGATGATGATTAAGTTTAACATTTTCTACAATATTGACAAAGCACTTTAAGCACAAGTTTGTTAGTTAATAATTTAGAAATGAATATTGTCTGTATGGACTTCCCCCCCAAAGAAGGTGCACATGTAAAACTGCGGTGTTAAGCGATGCGGTTGAAAATTTTTAGTGCGCCTAACTTTTGTGCCGGTACGCCTAAATTTTTTAAGTTAGGCGTACCGGTGCACCCATGTCAAAAAGTTAGTCTAGAGCCCTGCAGGTTTAATATGAGGAAGGAGTCCCCGAAGCAAACACACATGAAAAATGTTCAAGTGATAATACTGTTAGATTCTATTTCATGCAAACAAATAGAAAAATTAAATTGAAGTAAAACAAAATAAAACCTAAATCTAACTGTAGCGTGGACAAACATTCGGTCAACTTTTACATCCTAGTAGGGTAGCTGTTTATTGGAAGTTTATTTAACTTTAACATTTAATATTAGTTTCCACTGACACGCTGTTGGCTAACAGCACTGACCATTTTGTGCTGGATGATCTTCCTGACACAACCCTCCCCTTTAATCCAGACTTGAGAGGCCACTCGGCGTAGTCTGACTTGTCGACTGCCAGTGCTGCATCGTATCATGACACATTGTTATATAAATCATGGTATTTTAAGCATTTGCATGGTTTGGGGCTAAAAATTACAGGCGAGTGCCAAACTCAATTAATTAAATACATCTGTAAATAACTAAATGTAGCATGGATTAATTAAAAATTGAAATAATTTATTCAGTAATTACAGTTTTAAATATTTTATTATTTACAATTTTATTTAAAAATATTTAATTAGTAATTATTTAATGAAATCATTTGGCACTCTCTTAAAATGTGATGTTTGAATATTTCCGTTTCAGTGCATTTTCCAGGGCACATTGAGTGACATTTGTCTTCCCGTCCACGAGGGGGCGACTGGCCGCTGATAGTCAGCTCTCGGCCCGAAGAGGAAACTTGAGAGAGCCAACATGGCGGCGTCGTTGGTACGGTTTGTCCGCGGAGGTCTTGGAAGGAGTTTTAACAGTACGTTAACTATAAATCCATATACAGGCTGTAAATTGCAATGATTCGTTTTAGCCTGCGTCCGTTTGCGTGCTACCAATACAGTGTCGTCTTCAGCCTTCAAATGCTCCGTGTTTGACCTTCGAGCTAGCTAATGCTACCTTTAGCCAGCTCTTGTGTAGCAGTGCGGATTCACTCGTCAGTACCTCAGTGATTGATCCTTTCTGTCTGTCCCTCCTCAGTTGCGAGGACTTCGTGTCTCCTGCAGCAGCAGACCAGACTGCAGGGCTCCAGCACCGAGACCAGACGTGAGTACACACTAACTCATCGTGCAGGGTAGTGCCGCTGAACCACCGAGCTGTTTGACATTAGGACTAATAGCTGTCAAATATATGAGAACCCCAGAGTTAGAATGGCATTAGAATTTGTTTTAACTCAACTAGTTAACAGGACGTTACTGTGGGAGTATGGAGCCGCAAATCATAGTTTGTACCTACGGACATGGTTGCAGTGACGGGTTGTTTTTGTCCCCGGTACTAACATTACACAGCAAAGTTTTACAACTAAAAACATCAGACTTTTTTTTAAACACTCGCAGATGCTTTAAAAATATCCAGAGGGTCTAAATATATGTAACAGCACATGGAGTGGGGTCCACAGTGAAAGCTGCTGTGTTTGTGACTGTTGTGATGTTATTTTGTCTGCTGACAGACACACAAAGCTCGACCTATCAGATAAAGCACTACATACAACAAATGAAAATTTAGTGTTTTCCCAACAGTAAAAGACTAAAAAAAACTCTCTGGTGCACAAAGTTGGCAACAAAGAGGGGACACCGCGTGTATGTAGCACAGCTGCTGGCTTAGTGTGCCGCTTCTTGAAGTCTGATCTTTGGGCTGAAACATCTGTGTTGAATCCTCCTTAGGGAGGGGAGTCCCAGTAATGGCTCACAATGTTTCCTTTATCTTTACAATTTGCTAATGAGGGGCATGATTGGCCTTGACATTTTATATTCTTTGTTATGTTAAGGCTATACATGGACTTTTATTTACATTTGTTCATAAAGTCATTGTGCTTCAGTTTTGTTTTTTAAAAATGGAAGAAAACAATTGAATGAAACAACATTTAGTCCCAGAACATAAGAATACACACACACACACACACACACACACACATATTTATAACTATGAATATCCAGTAGCTACCATGTGAATATGACAGGGGTGGGAAACACTACCTACACTACTACTGCACTACTGCATCAGCATGAAAATGACAAAATCGTCTATTTGCATAAAATATTTGTCACACAGTCATCACAATATTGAGTAAGACTTAGTTTTGGCTGCTCCTGAATATTTAAAGCCTATGGACACATCATTGCAGTATAGAGTGTACAGTGTTCCTTCACATCACACAGTTTACTTATACAATACAGGCCCAGTGACAACATTAACTGCCAACTTGTCAAAGCTTTTAAAAAAGATAGTTGGGATAGTACCTCGTCTGAAGTTTGACACCCTGATGACTAATGAAAAGTAGAATGAATCCATGAGTCCAGACCTCAGAGAAAACGTGCAGGAACAAGTGCTGACTTACTGACATAAATTTTTTCAGTAACCTTGGGCGGCATCTACAGGTTGAGAAAGGCCCATGCTCCTGACATCACAAGAAGCTCTGTGGGTCATTGTCAGGTCGAACTGGGGTAACAGGGTTTCTGAGGATTGGCTGAACCTTTGGAGCTCGTGTGCTGCAGTCAGTAAGCAGAGAGACATTCTGAAATGGTTCAGATGTTCAGCTTTTCACTAAAAAGTTTTTGTTGATGAAATCTTTATTTTGTATTCAAAATATTTTATTTGCTTGATTTTATTTAGTAAAGTTAGAAGCACCGTCATTTAGAGCAGGGCAATATGACCAAAAATATTTATGACGATATGCATTTGAAAATTTATGATAACGATATAACTGATGATATAATTGACACTAGACAAAATGCTTTACAACTCCACAACTTTATTAGTGCAAAAAACCCCATCAATGTATTTTCACTTAAACAAGCAGCTGTTTTTTATGTGCATTAAAGTTATATAAAAATTTAACAGTGCAAATGCAAATTCCTTGCTGACAGTTTAACCAAAAGGCATTTCCAGTGGAAACTGGCCGACATATCCTCAGCATAACCATGTATAATATCCACAAAACTTAAAAAGAGGTTATACACACACAATCCGGTAATATTATGTTGAAGCACAGTACGTATCACTCCGCGAGGCTCCTGCCTACGATAGCCGTAATGCTCCGACAATCCATCAAGCGGTGCGGGTTCGTAGCTTAGCAAAGTCGCACTAAAACATTTGACAGATTTTCAAGCGCCGTGTACATAAAATCGTTTCGAGGTCAGTAAACACAACCAGAGTTCATACATAAGGTGCACGGGATTATAAGGGGCACTGTCGATTTTCAGAAAAATCAAAGGATTAATTTTAAGTGTGCCGTATTTTCCAA